GTCAAGTGCATAATTATCTTATTTTAAGAGTAAAAATACGCATTCCATTGGCAAACTATCTCATTTACCTACTCAAATTAAGAGTAAATGCACTTAATTTAAGAAATGTTTGCTTATTTCTAGATCGTTTTTGCAGTCAGGAGACGGAGACCAACAAGACCTCCCTCATCCTTGTCCCTATCTCAAAGAAATTTTTGAAATAGTCCAAAATTTGAGCCTTTAATTCATATAGTGGCATCTGGCTGCTTGTTTTTTTAAAGATTACTTTATAATTTTATACTTTAAGTAGTTTTTGGAGCACATACTTTTTCGCTTTTACTTGAGTAAAAAGGTCAAGTTGATACTAGAGTGTTCAATTCAATTCAGTTTATTTCTATAGCGCCAAATTCACAACACATGTCATCTCAAGGCACTTTACAGTTCAACCAGATCATCCAGTCAAATTGATACAAAGTTTTCTATCTAAGGAAAACCAGTTGATTGCATCGACTCATTGACTCAAATACAATCCCCCACACTAAGCATGCTTGTAGCGACAGTGGAGAGGAAAAACTCCCTTTTAACAGGACGAAACCTCCAGCAGAACCAGGCAGTGTTTTTAAACTGTAGTATCTATACTTCTACTCAAGTAACAGAAGTGTGTACTTTTGACACCACTGATACGTATTATGAGTGGAGGAAACTAACCCTTCACACCATGCCAATACTAAAACATGGAGGTGGCAGTATCATGCGAGGTGAGCTTTTTTGTCTGCAAAGTAAACCGTGCACACAAATGGAAAAACCTGGTACTTCCCGTTTTTCTCCCACATCCAAATACTGAATAGAATACATTGAACTGTGGGGTAGTAATGTGAAAAAGGTCAATGCATTGCTTGTAAGTAATGTGTTGATATCAGATATCAGGAAACTTTAAAGCGTTTCAGTCATTCCAATAAACCAATAATAAGGAAGCATATCAGAACGACGTGATTGTACCGCTTTAAATTTCTAGTTTATCATAAATATTTAGCAAACATTACAGACCATGCAATCACTAATATTGAACAGATTGGTACTGAAATGATCATTAATATGTAATAAAGCTCTAATGAGGAAGCCAAATCAATACAGCATATTTATCCTATTTACTGAGTGGATTATTCACTATAAAATGGTTGTCCTTTAATAACTTTTTGCCACCAAGCAACTAAATTTCTTCAAGGCAGTATTAAAGAATATGTACGGCTTTGAGATTAGATTATATTGGAGTTAATTTCACATCACTTGGAACATTTTGTCTGTGTGTCTTGAGATGATATTTTGTTATCAATTGATACTTTGAAGATACCCTAAAATAGTTATCTGAATAAGATCTGACACTATGTGAAATCGATGGTAAAATAACCAAAATAATTTCCCTAATTTTGAAAATTAAATACGTATCCCCTGGTCAGGCGTAATATTATGACCACCTAATACTGCTGTTAGTTTGTTAAAATGTTCTCTTTGCAGTTTATTTGTTGGGAGGAAGAAAAATAACAAAATGATTTTAGTATTTTTAAGCAGGTTCGTGCTTCGATGGTGCAGCGCTTAGCGCTCATGACCCCTGAACGGAGGCCTTAGTGCTCGACGCGACCGACCCAGGCTCGAATCCGACCCGTGGTCCTTTACTGCATGTCTCCCCCCCTCTCTCGTACCCCCTTTCCTGTCAGCCTACTGTCCCAAAAACGAGCCACTTGTGCTGTAAAAACTCAAATAAAAACAAAAAAATTTATCAGAATGTCCCTAAAACTAAAACTGTTTCAGAGTTCCTTGTCCTTTTTTTTCTAAATCCTTTAAAAAGGACTCAAGGCTGATAAATGCAGGCGAGTGGAGAAGGACGTCTGTTATGGTCTGATCCAGCAGATCTCCAACTGGAAGCCTCCAAAATTTGCTAGATGAAAAACTCAGATACAGGGAGGCCCAGACATTAGAATTTACAAAACATCAAGGGTTAAAGAGCTCATGCTACTGCTTACATTTATGGGTCTAATTCCTCCATTCATCAACTGATCACACTATTTGGTGGACATAAAGATATGCCTGATGTGCGCAGAGAGTCAGATTAAATGATTTTCTGCATAAAGAGTCAGCTGGGAAGCCATATAGACCTTAAAATGTTTTAAAATGTAGTGACATACAAATATCTGCCTACTTATGGATTTCTTAAGTATTTTCAATAATTTCTTTAGGTCTTTTCAGACAAAGATAACCTTGGAAGAACAAATCGTAAGTTTGATGATGACTTCTAATTAGAGGGGAAAAATACTAGCCAAACCAGGATGGCGATGTAAGGAAAAAGCCATTCCCATTGAAACCTAATAACTGGTTTTGCCACACATGGTGTCAACAGTTGCCATCGAGAGTCTGACAAATGGAGTCTCACTCTCTATTATGCTTTACTGCTTTAATTCAGTAAAACTGGAAGGTATATGAGTATCTCCATTAAATTAGAACAGACTTTGACTAGGCCACTGCAAAACTTCCCATTTCATTCTCATTTATTTAATTCAAGGATAGACACACTGCTGTTTGCACTGTAAAAAATTGAAATCTAAAAAAGTAATTTGATCTTAAAACAAGTTAATTTTTATTTGAAAGAGACTATTTGTCTATGGAACAAGACAATTTACATTTAAAATAAGAAAAAACAATTGAAATGTTCTTATTTCAAGTGCATCTTATCTAATCATCTTGTTTTAAGAATAAAAATACTCATTCCATTGGCAGATGATCTTATTTACCTTCTCAAATTAAGGGTAAATACACTTAATTTAAGACATTTTTACTTATTTCTAGATAGTTTTTGCAGTGTGGATCACTGCCCTGCTTTACAACTAAAAACAGCTTGACCTCCTGTTAAGATAAACCCATTTCAAGACAATCTCCTTTATAATTTTCCAGAATTAGAGCAAAAGCAAGTTGTCCAGAATGTGAAGCAGTAAAGCCGCCTCAGAACATCATACTACCACCACCGTGGTTCTCACTGTGGTTAGCTGCACTGGAAAAAAATCTAAATCTAGATATGTCATTTTTTTCTTAAAATAAGTGCATTTGTTCTTGGATTAAGGAGGTAAAAGACATTTTGCCAATGGAACAAGACAATTTACAATTAAAATAAGAAAACTCATTTGCATTTTCTTATTTCAAGTGCATATCATCTAATTATAAGTGTAAAAATACTCATTCCATTGGCAAACTACCTCATTTACCTACTCAAATTAAGGATAAATACACTTAATTTAAGAAAATTTTACTTATTTCTAGATCGTTCTTCCAGTGTGAAGACTCGGATCTTTAAAAATTGCTTTGTAGTAGGGGTGGGTATTGGCAAAGAAGTCACGATTCGATTCGAATCACGATTCACATGCCACGATGCGATTCTATCACGATGCATCACGATACTTGAAATATTGCGATGCATTGTGATATTTTCACTGAACACTGTAAGAAAAAGATACAGCCCTTACCAGTGGCTGACTGGCTGGGTGTGATCTGGATAGTGTCTTCAATTGATACATAACTGAAAGCAACTGAATTCATACATAGCTGTATTTATTGAAATTACTTTTGGAGGTGTTGCAATGAAAACAAATACTGGACAGAAATATTACTATTACTGGCATGGACACACCAACAAAAAGATCTTAGGATTCATCAAACTTAAAATAACAAAATGAGGATAATCAGTCCGGACATGCTTATGACACAAAGCAGCAGGCGTCAACACATCCGCAGCGACATCTGCTGGACTGGAAGTTGTATTCCACTTGGTTTGATTGATGTGCGCCAACCATTAATGTATTTTATTTGTTCATTTTTTTTTTTTTTTATAATCGATTCTTGCCTTCAAGAATCGATTCAGTAGATCACAAAAATTAGAATCACGATTCATCGATTTGACGATTATTTTGCACACCCTTACTTTGTAGCCTTCTCCACATCGACATACATTAATGAATCACCGCATATATCTTATTATATTCAGGTGTGTTTTGTTATATTTTTGCCAAATAGTCTAAACTAATTTGTGTTTCTTTTTTGCTTATTTTGCTCTATGTTGATTTGGACACAGTTTCAAAACTGCAATTCATATTTTCTCAGGCAATTTTCAAATGAGGTGATTATTTTAGCAGGGGTGGAGCTAGATGGGGGGCCAGGGGTGGCCATGTATTGGTAGCCAATCATTGGCAACCCCTACCATTTATTTTCCTCTAATACAGATGGTGGCAACAGTGATATTCTCAAGTGGAATATTCAAAACACTTTAAATTTTCATATATTAACAATTACTTTCCAATAAAAACAAAGCGGTTAATGATGCACATTAACATACTAACATTAAAGATGAAAAGTTAAGAATTCAAGCAGAAATAGATTTTGTGTTTTATGGGGTAAAGAGAAAATGATGCGTCTCTGCAAGTCATCTAGGAGTCTTCAGTGAAATTTTAGATAAATAACTATTTTAATAAAAACGTATTAATCATTTTATGTAGATATTAGTACTTGTAAATATCAATTTTATGCACAATGATTACTGATAAAAGTAGGTAAGTAATGACAATGGAAAAGATGTTCACCCAAAACTCAAACCTGAAAGTATTTGATCCACTATTCCTTTTATTTAGAAGCACGGATGTTTAAATATATTTTTTTATTTTTTAAGAAAGGCTGTGAAAAAGTATAGTTTGACTTCATTTAGAAAATATGGATGTTTTTATCGTTCATTTTCCTGTTGGAACAGCATAGACTGACCATGAGGTTTTGGTGCCTATCTACTTTCGGCCCCCCTCAGTGTAAGATTGGTTATGGCCACCCTTATAAAAATTTCTGGCTACGCCTCTGCATTTTAGTGGGACCAAAACAGAAGAAATCTGCAAAACTTAAGCAGTTTAGAGAGAAAACATCCTAATTTCGAGGTAGAATCCAGAGAAAACTCCGGATCATGCAGTGAGCAGGTGATTGTGTGGCTGGGTTACCTGGAAAGGCAGCGTGTTGTTGCTGTTGTCCGTCCTGAACGCAGCGTCCTCCATCCAGGGTTTGGGAGCGAGAGGAACACCGGGTCTGGGGAATTTGGGCGGTGCTATGACATTGCTGGTGTAAGACTTTTTCATCGGGGAGATGGGGTTGAGGGGAGACGGCACCCCGACGCCGACTCCGACCCCTACGCCCACGGCTCGGCGCGGGTCCCTGCCCGGCTGCAGCGCGCTCCAGGGGCTGGACGGGGAGCTCCAAGCCGCGTTCTGCTGATTATTCCAGGCAGAGGAGGAAGTCGGGGAAGACGACGAAGAACCTTTGCTGTTGTTCATGATGGTTTGATAAGCGTTTCTCTGGGGAAGGGGCCCCTGGCTGGGACTGACCGGGGATCTCCTATGCTGCTGCTGCTGCGGAGACAGACCGACCTGCGGGGAGAAGTCCCCCCCAAACACCGGGCTGACGTGGGGGAAGTTCTGGAAAAGCATCGTCCCGTTCACCGACGGCATTCCTGGGAAAAAGCTATCCTCCACGGCGTTGGTGGTTCCCGTGGACCAAGTGCTGCCGAATGAGGAGGGAGGAGAGCTGAGGGATCCTCCGGTGTCCTGGTGGAAGCCCAGCCCGGGGAGGATCGGCGACTCCATGGGGGCTCTGCTGTCCCTCAGCGCGGAAGCCGCTTGGCTGCTGCCGGTAGACGGGCTCTCCGACTCGGATGAAGATGAAGCGGGATCCGATGACGGGGTGGAGGGAGGAGGGTCTGCTTGTGTCGGATCTTGCTGCTGATGAGGCTGCGCTTTGTTTTTGTCCATCAGTAAATCATCCTGCATGGTGTGTGGAGCTGCGACAGGAGGACAAAAACACTTTGAGTCAATCGGAATATTTCTAAGGAGATCATATAGAGGACTCCTACGGCAGCCGGAAAGGAAAAAAAGACATTAAAGGACACGCGATCAGCAAAAATCACCCCCAAAAAAACAAACAAAAAAACTTCCACAGAGAACAAAGTGAATCTTAAATCCCCACTAAGGATATGGCAGCAGATAATCACCAGATTTCGCCACGTCTCGTGTTTTTTCCCCCCTTCCACGCAGGAACTCTGCAATGTGAAACTGATCTGCGCTTTTCTCGCTTTAAGGACCTCCCCTGACATTCATTTGCATATGTCAGTAAATACAGCTGCCCTTCAGCAAGGTGAAAAGACACCTTGACAGCATATTTATAACGAAATCCCAAAAAAGGGAAACAGAAATTAAAAAACAAAACAAAAAAAATATTTTTTTAGGAAGTGACACAAACACCATTTCTATTAAAATGTCCCCATACAGTACCATCTAACATCCTATAAATTAAATAACAAGTGAAAAAAGTATTATTTTTATTTAAGAATAAAAAACATAAACATTCAAATCTAGATTTAATGAATATATATTTATCTTATATCAAATTAAATGTCTGTTTCAATCATTTACGAATTACATTTTTGGCCCAAAACAGAGCATTAAACACTTAAAAGTAGGGATATAATTCGCATTATTACATGCATTTATTAGCTTTATAATCACATTTCCCCTCATCGCATTCTAATGCAAAAATACAGGATAAAAAAAAAAGATGTGGTTTGGTGCAAGATAGGAGCCGCGTCAAAAACAAAATGTTCTCTTTAAAAAAATAACTTTTCTTTAAACATATCATTGAAGCTCTGCTTTGTGTAAAGATAAAAATCGAACACATTCAAATAGTTTGATCAGTCATATATATAGATATAAATATAAAATGACGTCCATCACAGATAAAGAAAGCCTATATGGTGACGCTGATAAGGCAAACATGCACTGTGGCCCCTGAATAACAAGTTGGAAGATTTTAAATAATCCCATGAAGCTGGTGTGTCATGTCACAGACCAGTCATCCAGCATTAAATCCACTGATATGAGTCGGATTTTACATTTTTGAGCACCGCAGATTATAATCCGAGTTTTCTCCTCCAAACTGCAACGCTTCCAAGGTCATGAGAGGACCACAATCAGTAGCCAGTCCACAGACCCCCCCCATCACACACTCTGACCACAAACCAGACCCTTGGTTGTTTGTCGCCTGGCCGAGATATCCTGGGTAATCTACATGTCATGAAGCTCACTTGCCACGGAAATCGCCTCTGTAATCCATATGTGTCCCTCTGCACGCGGCAGATCAGCACGCACGCGCTCTAAAGTCGCACTTCTGCTCAAAACGAAGCTTGATTTACCTTAATGGTTCACCTTGTTTCAGACTGAATAGAGATATTTCTGTTTGCCTCGCCTGGGTTGGGATATGACAAACGGGCTACGATGGTGCCGAGATAGTCAGCAGTTGCCTCAGCAGCTGATTGACTGTGGCGCATGGGGGGAGGCCGAAAGGGCTTGTGGGAGTTGAAGTTCTATCGCGGTGCAGCAGCCTGCCGTTGAGAAAAATTAAAATCACAAATTAACAAATTAAAGCAGTGATGCCATCAGCTTAATATCAATTTAATTAAACCATAAAGAATTATTTGACACTTAATGTTCTTTTATTGTTTTGATTTCGTGCTTAAAGCCATTTAGCATAAATAAAATCAAATTGAATTCGCCAAATGGGGAACACATTGACGATTATGTGTATATTATTTCGTCATGGATATGAGGCAATAATCTTTAAATAATATGCTCATTTTACACCTTTGCCATTTTGTACTTTTCCAGTATTGTTGTGGTTTGACTGGTGATAATTAAAATATTTGTTTATAACCCATAGATAGTTTTATTTCAGTGGTTATGTGACCCCTGATTAATAATAGAGCATTAAATGAGGACACTTTATCATTTAATTATCTGTTAAAATTATGAATCAAATAATCCAGACAACCACAAACAAGGGAAACAGATTAATTACAATTAAAATCCTACTGATAAACTTAAATGTATCTGGCAGTATAAATTATTATTTGCATTCATGACGCGTGAAAAAACACTTAAGAGCAGAAAAGATCAATGCAAAAATATTTTAAGTACACCAATTTACTTTTGTTGTCAAATCTGATACGATATAATACGTAGAGGTTATAAAACTACATTTCCCACATCAGGCTAAAATTGCGCTAACGGCGTGTTCGTTGTTTTGATGACGTAGTCACGGCCAGTCAATGGAGTCAAGCGGTCAGGGTGAACGAGGCCATAACATATTTAAACTGTATTTTTTCTTAAAATAACAACCGCGAGGAGATAAAGGCTATTTTGAAAAGAATGGTTGTCAGAGAGTAGTTACACCCCAAATAGGTGGCACTTCCGCCGACGACAGGCTGTGACAACATAACGGCCTATATGTGGGCTAATTAGCTAACCTGTTAGCTAGCATTTTTTTTTTTTATCGTTCACAAAATCAGCAGTGCGGCTTTTTATTTCGTTTTCGTTATCTCATCTGATCCACTTCTGTTAAGAAGACATTTCCTCTCAACAATGGCGGAACAGGGTCCAGTTGTCGCACAGCAAAATTTGGACAGGTGAGTGAAGCCTTACCAAACAAGCTAGCTATAGTTACGTAGTTTTCTGAGATTTAACAATTATGACCAATAGTAAAGAGATATTCATAAAATACTCGAGGAATTATAGGTATTAGTCAGAAATGTGGAGTTTACCTTTCACAATACCATGGTTTGTAGAGTTTTTAAGGGTCGTCCTTGGCTATCTGATGCTGACAGTGGTTTGACTTGTGACCCTTTAACTCCTTCCATGACACACAGGCTTCATGAATGAAGGACTTCAGTCGGAAGCTCGATAATTCAACGTTTTACGTTTATATATGCGTTTAAACTGGGTCATTCTAGTTAAAAATGTACGTTACAAAATAACCAAATCCCTTTACATAACATTAGCCAACAGCTAAGACACGAGGTGTCAGACATCCCAAGTTCCAAAAACTAATTGCAGGGAGATGCTTATAATGAAGCTTATTTTTCTTTCACAACAAATTGAAAAAGAATCCTCTAATTTAAAAAAAAATGAATTTAACAGTTTTTCTTGAATTCTAATCTAAATGTTATAGAAAAAGGTTGCTTTGGCTTAAATTAAGTCAAAAATATGTAAAATTCCTAAATTATAAATGTATATTTACCTCAAGAAATAGAATTTCTATTGAACCTGATTGAAAAGAAATTTCCCTTCATGCAGCTCTCAATATATTTGAATCCCTTGCCCTGTTTTTTATTTCATGCTTTTCTGTGCCCCCATGAAAACACGCTGGCCCCCTCCTGGCCCGCTGGTACATTTGGTCTAGATCCGCCACTGTTCCTCACCTTCACTAGACGTGGATATACTTTAATATAGTCTGCTGTAAAATTAGTCCTATATTTTTGTTTTTTACTCGAGGATTCAACCTCTGCCGTTTCACAGGATGCACAGCTTTGAGTGGTAACTAGGTGACTGCAGAGAGTAACGCGAAACTTATCGGACTGATCCAATTAGCCCTCTGACAACCAGTCGCCTGAAACGCTCATTGAACAGAGCATTGCTTTGGACAGATATGCTGCACAGGTTACACCAGCAACCTCCTCCTCACACCCCGCCCTCTCTCTTGTTGTTCCTGCGCAATCGCAGTAGTTCTAATCCTCACATGATGCACAAATTATTGTATTGCCTGCTCGCTCTCACTCGCAGTAAAAAAAAAAACACCACCTTGCAGAGTGTAAAATCCGGGATAATTTATCCGACTAGCGGGCATCAATGAACAACTATATCAGGGAGGCTCCCGGAACTTCTGGGAGACTTGGGATGTCTGAGGTGTGTAGGAAAATATTTTGTTTTGTATTGTAATGTTTTACATAAATGGAGAAATCATTAAAATGACTCAAAAAATGTATCTTAATGTAAGAAAGGAAGGGGGAAAAAATGCCTGAATTAGATGCTGGCATTCTTAGATAATTTATAATAGCGTTGCACCCTGATACCCGATACCTGGCTGTGCAGTATCTTCTGATACAATACCATACCGATACGATCTGTTTGAAATTGATGTAGGGTTGTTGCGATACTAAACTTTTCAACTCGATACCGATACTAAGTAAAATATTCGATACTCGATACCCTTTTCGATACCACAAGAATAAAAAAAAAGACTCTAAAATTCAACAGAAATATTTTCATTACTAAAAAAATACAATAAATAAATAAAAAACAATAAGAATAATATTTTGAGGTTGCATGCTGTGCACAATATTAAGCAAGCTTGATAAAAAACTAAAATTAAGTGTTCCTTCCTTGGCTATGTTTTGCAGACATAACAATGACACTGGCCAAACCAGTTAAACAAAAATAATTCTCAGCAGCTGCAACGGTTACAAAAAAAGTCTGAAACTGAAAAATGCGCAGAATTATTCAATCACACAGTGTTCAGAACATGCATTTTCCACTATTCTGCACTTTAGATGGCTATATCGATACTTTTGAAAATGAGTATTGTATCCGGATACAACGTTACGGTATCGATACTTTTTTGAGTATCGATACTTTTGACAGCCCTAAATTGATGTGTGTGTGTGTGTATAAATGAAGAACTGGATGTAAAATAATTGCCATCATGGCTTTGTCAAGCTGCTGCCTTTTTTTGTGAAGCAGGAAAAAAGACTGTTATCGCTGCCCTATTTGTTTGTACTGGCAGATAACCATTTTAGTAGCCTAATAAATTAGCCCCCCCCACCAGCGGCCTAAATCACTTTTGCCTGCGAGTGGTCTAGCCTTGATCAATGCCCCAGGTCCCAGAACTGGCGGGCCAATCACAACACAGAGATGTGTTTTCAATTTCTGGATGCAAAGCGGGCGGGGTTTTGAAGGTGTGACGACAAAAATGCGCGATGCTGGAAGAAGCCCAACAAGGAAGACGTCAACAACTATTGAACAGTTCTCGTTTGACTCAGCTTTGGGATCACTTTTGGAAGGATTAGACTTGGGGTTTTCGTTGAAACGTGAGCAGGAAGAGGCTCTATGCTCGTTCATTTTTAAGAAGGACGTATTTCTTACTCCTTGAACCCCAGTCGGCCTCAGCAGATGGCCGCTCACACTGAGCCTGGTTCTGCTGGAGGTTTCTTCCTGTTAAAAGGGAGTTTTTCCTCTCCACTGTCGCTACAAGCATGCTTAGTGTGTGGGATTGCATTCAAGTCAATAAGTTGATGTAAAGTGCCTTGAGATGACATGTGTTGTGAATTGGCGCTATAGAAATAAACTGAATTGAATTGAATTAAAATTGAATTCACAGTTTTACCAACAGGCTGTTTGGGAATGTTAGAAAACAACTTGTATTGAATGTTCTGCCTTTCAACTATAAGATTAGATGCCAGCAAACTCCCCACTTATAAGTTCTTTAAACAGTCATTAGAATAGATAGAAAATCCCTTCATTGGCCCACAAGGGGGGAATTCTGGTGTTTACAGCAGCAAAAAGATTATAGAAAAAATGGTCACACAAATGTGGACCTTAGAATAACATAATAGCGAAGAGTTAAAAAATAAAGAATAAAATACTTTACTGTGAAGTGTTTTAACAATATAAATAAAACTGCACCTGGAGGATAAATAACCAATATCCAGCTATGGACATTTTTACAGTAATGGATATTTGAAAATGGCAGCAACATGTGTGCAAAAATGACAGCAGCATGTTATTTAGCTGACTAAGGTGGAAACTGCAAAATCAGCCTGATTAAATCATGAAATCAAAGTTTAGTTTGAGCTATTGAAAAGTGTTTATTTACCATATTTTTTTTATTTCTATTTTTTTTTTAATACACGTGTCCTTGACATCCTGTTTGCCCTATTTATTCAAGTACTATCATGTTCAGGTAAATCCAACATAGTTGTGTTGGTCCAATATTTCAGCAAGAAGCCCAGGCTTTGCTGCTAAAAAGAACATTTTCAACATTTCTCAAATCTGTAACCAAAGCTAGCTAATAACAAACAGATATCTAGGGGATTTCAGATCAGATGGTGTTATCATCAGTCGAGCCCCACATTTATTGATAGAATTATAGCTACTCATGCCATCATAGCATTAGGATTTAATATTGCAGAAATTGTGTAATCAAACAAGACATTTAGTTTAACTTAAGGCCTCAAGTTCTTTGGAAATTTTCAAATCTTTTTCTTTTAAATAAAAAGTGAAACTGACGGTATATTAAGGACTTTCTGCCTTAGAACATGGCCAACAGATTTGATTTAAGAGCAGATGAGAAACTGCACATTAAGAAACAAAACTGTCCTTCGTAAACCCAGATTTAATTTATTTAGTACATTTAACAGGAAGTATTAGTATTAATAATTGAATACAGTCAACGGAAAATTTGTTCCTGTATACTTTCCATGGGGGGGTGTTACTGTGTCCCACCTAAACGCATTACCTTTCCAGTTTTGTTTATATGTTAAGGAATGTAAGCACATTTCAAGAACAAATATGCTTTTAAAAAATTTGTTTTCAATTTTAAATCATTCAACATAAAGTGGAACAGCTGAGCTTTGGTTTGAATTTTTGGTTAGGGCAGCTCTTTGTTCATTTTAGTAGGTTCTAACATTCCTGCATTTATTATGAATATAAGTTTTATAATCTATCCTTTTTGGTTTTTACACTTTAACAAGGAGCTTTATTTTTTAATACCGCACTGAAACAAATTTCTTGCCCTTGACTACAATGAGGTGTTAGACTGTCCAAGGAAAATGTAGCACAATTATTGGGTATTCCTGAGAGACTTTGTTTCTCTTTGAGTTGTTCACTGTGCCCCAATTTCAATCAACTATACATGGGAGTAGTGATGTTTTACCTTTGCTGAAAAATGAAATTCTTTTACTGTCATCGAGTTAATGGATTTCGTCGTGTGAAGCTGATACCAAATGGGATGAATAAAGTTAGCCAAAAGGACATAACTTTGGCACATCTAGATTAAAGTGGTTTTCATTCACTCATTAAGTTGGTAGGAATTAAGGTTGGTTTGTGTTAAAACACGATGCCAAAGGAAGAAATGGTGGAAAAATAAAGGCCATATTATACTTCTGCAACCGCACACATCAAATGTCGCTTGCGTTTGGTCGCGAACCAGGTTTGTTGGTATGCTTCTGCAACGTCTGTCTGGAATTTCTAGGGATGTACAGCAGTTTCCCGCCAAAGCGCAAGGTGGAGCCTATTCGAGAACTCGCGAGAACTTCGGCGGATGGTCACAAGAACTTCAGTGCCAGCGGGAGTATTTTTCTTTCAAAACAACAATGGTGTGCCTGTAAGATATCATGGTTACGGAGATGGATCTAGAGTTGCTAGACATCGAAGAGGAACAGGTTCTGTTAATGGAGTTGGCAAAAAGACCGATTAACCTTTCGTCGTAGTTGTCCATTGTAGTTGTTCCTCAGTTTTTGAAAATGACGCTCCCCAGCACCGAATCGAGAAGGACGACCACAAAGACAGCTGGAAAGGCATACCAAGGACCAATCACAGCTTTTTTTTTTTCTGCACACTTCCCCTTGAGGTC